AATAGATAACTGATTGAAATATCCAGATGACAGGAACAGATAGCCTAGATAATCATGTAAGCCACCTTGTTAATAAACATACTTGTCATCAACCATGAATCTCATTCATACTTCAAATGTTGTAGCATATTAGTATAGAAAATGGATTAATCTATATATAATAATATAACTGAGCACAAGCATAATGATTAATTTACATCCAAACATATTAACAACCAATTCATGGTTACTATCATAAAATCAATAATAAATTTTTCATAGTTGAAAGCGTGAGTCAATTGAAGTTAGACAATCATGAAAAACCTGAAAGCACTGGACTGCCGTTTCGTCCTATTATGGGACTTCTCAGAAGTGTGCACCCACGACCACGCCTCGCCAGATTCGAACCCAGGACCTACCAGTCTATCCAAGTATTCCCTGATGGTCTAGCTTCAATTGACTCATGCTTTCAACTATGAAAATACTAAATCTTCACAAAAAACCCCTTCTGATAATAATAAAGTTTTCCATTTCTATTTAAAAAACGTATCAACATAGACTTTTCCATTTTACAAAAGTAAGTAAACAAATTAATAAACAATGAAGGGAGGGGGATAAAGAAAGTATATACAATAAATCATTCTATATAGTCTAATTTAATCAGTGATAATAATAATATTATTATTATTACCACCACTACTACTACTACTACCACTACTATTATTACCACCACCACTACTACTACTACTACTATTATTAGTACTATATTATTGTTTCTTTAAATATTTGTCTTCATTTCTTAATTTATTTTATTTTCCATTAAGTAAAACTACAAAAAAATTTGGCGCCTAAATATGAGTTACGAATTTTTTTTAAAATTTTTGTTTCATATTTGTGTATGTGTTCAATATTCTACAATTTGAAAAACGAAATTCTTAATTTAAATTCACTTGGTATTGTTGTTTACTTGAATCTTCTCATTGATGTGTTAGGATTGCAACTGGTCAGTCTGTTATTGGCATATGTTCATTCTGTGTGTATTGCTTTAATATTGCCTTAATTCACAAGTATTCTAAGCAAAGATGGATAGTGGCTAGCAGTGGAATCGAGCACATGCGTTTCCTCCTATTTGGGACTCGTCAGATGAATGTACTTTCATCTCAGAGTTGATATTCACTCCAGGATTCGAACCCAGTACCTTTCGCTTGAAACGTCATCGCGTTATCCACTTAGCTACTGAGTCCTGATGACCACTTGCTTGTACAATGGGATGAAGTTTAAATTTACTTACTATTGTTTATTTGAATCATGTATTCCACTGCCAACCATTATCCATCTTTGCTTAGAATGCTTATAAATTAAGGCTATACCGAGGCAATACCACACAGTATACACATATGGGTAATAAGAGACTGATCAGTTTAAGTCCTAAACATCAATGGGAAGATTCAAACAAAACAATACTAAGTGAATTTATTATTATCATCCTACCTACATTCAATCCCAAAATGTACAATTTACCTTGTTATCCATAAGTAAATAAATAATGAATGTTTATCTTTGAATTAAACAAAAAGGAATAAAAAACAAGGGAGGGGGAGGGGGGCGGGAAATCTAATTTCCTTATATCATTATTATATTATCCATTTATTTAAAAAAAATAATATAATCATTCTTATTTATTTATTTAAAAAAAAAATCTTTTTTATGATCAACCAAAAAAAAATGAGGGTAAAGTATGGGTTGGAGAATACTGGTCGGCAACCTATACTCTATAGGGAGTAACAAGCGTAAGTAACTAAGTAAGTAAAATGGTGTAAACGATAAATAAATAAATAACTAGGGAAAATCTTTTGAAAAAGAGGAAACAAAAGGGGAATTAAAAGGGTCATATATATGTCTGTCTATCTATATAGCGATTTTGTGTGTGTGTGTGTGTGCACGATGTGCCTACATTGGCATCATACATACACAAATATAAATGAATGAATAAACATATAATTGCGTGCTATTATCTAGTTTATTGAACTCAAACAATCCATTAAACAATAATAGATAATGTTTACTTAGTAATGATAAAGTAAAAGAAGAAGAAGAAGAAGAAGAAGAAGAAGAAGAAGAAGAAGAAAAGAAAATCCAATTTAGAGAAAGATAAGATCTTTACAAAATATACCTACTTACACTTACACTTACACGTACACACACATACACATTCATAGGACGGTGTTATTTCACCATCGTCGTCTACAATTTCAAGGAAAGAAAAAGAAAATCTTTGAATATTTGTATTGTAGTACCATTAGTAAACCAATAAGAATAGAAGTATACATGATGAACACTATAATAATAACCCTATTTAGATAGATAGTGCATTATTTATGATTACATAGATAGATAAATGAAACAATTAAAGCATGGTATATGTACAATAGAATACTTCCCCCCTACTATTGAATAGATAGAGTTAACTTTGGCTTTGATAATAAATTAATCCATTCAATATAGATAGATAGATCATCATCATATTAAAGATAAATATAATCAGATAACCATATGGTTATAGAGAGATAAATGAAGAAAAAGAAAGAAGGAAGGGGGGGGGAAGCCGACAACAACAGCAACAACAACAACAAGAGAGATTACACATAAGTGAAAATTGTCGATTTGTTTAAGATGGATAATTTGTGATGAATTGTTGAAATTTGATTTTAACTATATAAAATTATTAAAATCTCCACTAAACCCCCCTTCTGATAATGATCAACATATGCTCACTAGTGACTGACTCTATGAGGTATTTCCTGGAGTTTTAATGAGAAGCAGTAATCAGTGAACTTTAAACAGGTTGTTTGGGAGATATCAACTCACTGAAGACATTAGTGAATGGTTGCTCAATTTCGTGGATTGGTTGACGTTAGACATTAACACCATTGGATGCCGGCCGGGTCAGTGGTCTATTGGTTAAGTGCTCTGGCGCGAGACTGATAGGTCCTGGATTCGAATCAAAATAGACGAGAGCATGGATGAACACTGCTGAGGAGTCCCACAATAGGACGTGACGGCCGTCCAGGGCTTCCAGGTTTACCATGATGGTCTAGCTTCAATTGACTCAACTACAAACTTAATAAATTGAAACCATGTCTACATGTTGACTAATTGATCTGTATGACATTTTTAGTAATAATTTCGCAGTCTATTACTATTATTAACTTCTTCTTAGGAATCAGAATTTCGATATTTTTACTTGTTGACTTTAGATTCTTACTTGCATTTATTCAATGATATGAATTATTTTACTTTTTTAACCAATAATCATGTATACTTAAATAAAAGGAGTGTTCACAATATTCGATATATTACTTTTCATAAATAGTACGAAACTTGTGAGCACTGGACGGCCGTTTCGTTCTATTGTGGGACTCCTCAGCAGTGCGCATCCACGATCCCGCCTCACGAGATTAGAATCCAGGACCTATCAGTCCCACGCGTAAGCGCTCAACCTCTAGACTTTCGAGCCGGCCGGCATCCAACGATATTAATGTCTAATTTCAACCGATCCAAGAAGTTGAGCGACACATTCACCATTGCCTTCAATGAGTTACTATCTCACAACAGATCCAGTTATTTTTATCTAGTAGATAATAATCAACCCGGAAGTTTTCACTTATTGATATAATATAGACAAACTTGAAAGCAAGTCAGTTTTAAGCAACACAATATGGTACATATGTATATTGATTCAATCTATCACATCATGTACCCATTAAAATTGTTGCTCTGATTGTTAGAAAATGCATCGGCATCATGATTTCCGAAGGAACTCGGCTTTCATTATAAGAGAATGCTGGTCGGCGGCCTATGCTTCATTGAAAGAAACAGACTTAAGTAAGTAAGTATCACATTATACCAGGATAATACAATTAAACTATTCAGATAAATACTGAATTAATAAAAGTCATAACAGTAACAGTGATAGAAGAAATTATTAAGAATAGACAAAAATGAATTAAGAGAAAAGAATGAAATTGATGAATAGAATGTATAAGTTAATTTTATAACTTATTATCTAAGGGAAAGACAAAGAGTGTATGTATCTCCATTATTTCAACTGATTCTAATGACTCCAGTTAGGTACTATGCAATTAATAGTTACCATCTAACAGTTTCATTTAATTCACTGATGCCACGTTTCGGTTTGACCGCCCCATGACTCTCTTCCAACTATCGCCAATACTAGCCAACATAGCGCGTCGTGGTAATTGGTGTTCAGACATACGTAACACGTGGCTGAACCATTTCAGTCAATGAAGATTCATGACCTCATCAACTGATATACCATCATTCCTTAATGTCATTGTCAGTAAATACACCTGACAGGTCAGTGACTGATACACTGGATAATCAATACTAGATGTTATGTAATCAAGCCCCCAAATGCCCTGGTACGGCCGAGAGTGGGCAGAGTCTGCTCTCCCTCTCGAAATGCTCTCATATGGCCACGCGTATATAGCCTCTGTCAGAGAAGTCCTACTCACTGCCTTCTCGTACCACGGGTGTTGTTCACAAAAGTGAGAGGACGAAAAGCAAATGTCCGGCGTTTCAACCGGGTTGATGGATGTGGAGGATCCACCTAGGGGAGTTGGAAAACCCTCATTCCAAATCCATGGTGCACATGGGCTCCAGTAACCTGAAGGAACGAATGGCGTATGAACCAACTGTTGGTCACCGGCTACCATGGGACTGTACCTCCTTACGAAGCTCCACTGCCTTGTGGACTAGACCTTTAGGTCAAAGGCTCCGGGTGTGGCCCCCTAAGAAAACCACCTGCTTCAGTCTGGGCACCTGGGCAGTATCACAGCCCTCACACAAATCGAATGAGATTTGTGAGGCGCATATTTATCTGGTGCTTCCTTCTACCAATATTTGTGTTTAAATGAAATAAAAAAAATCAATTACATACATGACAAATGTTATACATTGAAAAATAAACACACACACACACACGCACATAAATCACTTACCTTATGTAATTGATTAGTAATATTGTTATCTACATTTGTTTGTTGTTTAGATATCGAAAATCCTGTTGTCGAAGAGGGAGTCGAAAGAGAAGTTATTGGAGGATATGATACATTATTATTATTACTGTTCGATCTCATTTGAACCGATCGATTTAAACCCATAATTGGATGTGATATAGAATATGATTTTAATCCTACTATCTCTGATATTGTTGATGTTGTTGGTGTTGTCGTCGTCGACACCGCTAAAGATGATGAAACATTCTCAGTAACTACTGTCGATGTTTGTATAGTTGAATTAAGAAGTATTGATTTATGAGTTCCAGTTAATTCATTTAATTGATTAGCTAACATATCTCGTTCTTCAATGACATATGTTAATTGAGCTTGCATATTCGATATAATTGTTTCATATTTTATACACTGAAAGAGAGAGACGAATAAAAAAATAGTAAATAAGTAGTATTTAGTATCAAAGTTAAATTCAAACGTCAATCTAAGCTAGATCACCATCGAAAACCTGGAAACGTTGGGTGGCCATTTCGTCCCAGTACAGGACTCCTCAGCAGTGCTCACTTACGATCCCACACGCAGACACTTAACCTCTAGACTAATAAGCTTAGATTGACACATGAATTCAACTCTGGAAATACTATAGTCGTGATAAATCACCATAATGATAGTATGGTAGAGAAGATTTGTAGCTATTTGTATGAATAAAATTACTAACGAATACTTCTACAGTTTAAATATACGATCATATTTGGTTTAAGCTACTATGACGTTCATTAAAAAAAAAAACATACAACAGAAATGTTCAATTGAGTGGATTGTGGACATTGATTTATAGTTGAAATCATGAGTCAATTGAAGTTAGATCACCATAGAAAACCTGGAAGCACTGGACGGCCGTTTCATCTTATTATGGGACTTCTCAGCAGTGCGCATCCACGATCCCAGACTCGCGAGATTCGAACCCAGGACCTACCAGTCTCGCGCGCGGGCACTTAACCGATAGACCACTGAGCCGGCCAGCATCCAACGGTATTAATGTCTAACTTCAACCAATCCACAATGTATGAGCAACCGTTCACCAATTGATTTAATCAGTTATTTATAAACAACACATCATCCGGTAAATATATACATTACCTCATGTTGTCACATTGTATAGGTACAGTGAAATGAAATAATCAAAATTACAGTTGTAAAGATAGTAACAGGATCAATGGTAGAAGAAAATATTAGGTATAGACAAAATAATTGAAGAATTAATTTCTAGGATAAATATCATCAGTATTTTAATGCAAAGAGTGAATTTAACTACTTCATTGAGATCGGTTCTGAGCCAATATCATCCAACACCTCTAACCATCAGAAGGGCTTTTGTGGAGATTTTAGTATTTTCATAGTTGAAATCATGAGTCAATTGAAACTAACGGTTGAGTGCTCTGGTGCGAGACTGGTAGGTCCTGGGTTCGAATCTCACGAGTGCGGAGTCGTGGATGCACACTGCTGAGGAGTCCCAAATAGGACAAAACGCGAGTCAAACTGGATTCCACTGCTAGCCACTATCCATCTTTGATTATAATTACAATCTAAGTTATTTAAAATCTCCATTTACGCATTACGATTATGAAACGAACTGCAACTAGAGAAGTTTGAACCTTTCAATAAAACTTGGTTTTGTTTATCTTAGCCTTATCATAATCTACTTCTATATTGATTAGCTAATTATGTCAATATAAACAGTAGTTAAGAATGGGTCACGTCTATCCTGGATGTTGCAATCGATGAAGATTTACATCATGACAAACCAAGTTACTAACGATATCTAATATCAAATGTCCAGCCACATGATTAATTACTTGGGGATTTAACAATTATTGACTTAAAAGAATCTTTTAATCAGATACCGGTCAAATTTTAGTAGATCAGAATCACACAGGAGATCATCTATAACGTAAATAACTCACTAGTAACATCACTGATTATAATCCTTGGTGATTTCTGTTTGAATATCATGAAAGAAGCACTAAACTCCTTATAAAATTGCAAATACACTTTAATATGATATATGCCAATCAATACGAAATCTAAAACAAATCTTATATATGGGGGTTTTCTATGGAGATTTTAAGTAATTTTTATGTATAGTTGAAATAATGAGTCAATTGAAGCTAGACCACCAAAGAAAACCTAGAAGCACAGGACGGCCGTTTCGGGATCGTGGATGCGCACTGTTGAGGAGTCCCATAATAGGACGAAATGGCAGTCCAGTGCTTCCAGGTTTTCTACGGTGGTCTAGCTTCAATCGACTCATGATTTTAACTATACATAAAAATCCTATATATCTATCTATCAAAAACTATGATAGAAAGACTTGAAGTTACAGCTCTTTCAACAATCAAACTAAAAATTTGGATATATTACGCAAATGAGGCATTCATTATTCTGAGGAGAGATGAATTCGAAAATAATCATGAGTTGTTTAACACCATTTTTGACATAAAATATTTTTCTCATATGTCTCAACCAACAGAATGAACGTCGGAAACTTTAGAAGTGCAAATATAAATAAAGTCAAACCATACGGATTACAACAGTGACAATCGAACAGCACAGAAGAGCCAAAACCATTTTGAGCACCGTCGCTACACGAAGAATTAAGGAAATCAATTTATCTGTTTTCTATAAAAAGGGCTACCCCAACGAATTCGTCAAAAGGTGTCTGATTAATCTGTATACCATTAAATACCAATACAGGAAACTAAAAAGACAGATCACTCCACCATATGTGAAAAATATCTCAGAAACTATTAGAAAGATTCAGAAACTTTTCGGGATCAGTGTCGCTTACAAACCAACGTGATAACTTTATTCCATATTATGAAGATTGAAAGCCAACAGCAAAAGTGGATAAATCCAATATAATCTACAAATAAATTATACTAACTACGAGCAATGTTACATTGGCCAAGATGGACTCCAGTTCCATTTATGTATATACAAATACATCACAAGGGGTTTTGTGGAGATTTCAGTATTTTCATAGTTGAAATCATGAGTTGTCTATCGGCTAAGTGCTCTGGTGCGGGACTGGTAGGTCCTGGGTTCGAATCCCATGACGCGGAATCGTGGATGCGCACTGTTGAGGAGTCCCATAATAGGACGAAACGGCCGTCCAGTACTTCCAGGTTTTCTAAAGTGGTCTAGCTTCAATTGACTCATGATTTCAACTATGAAAATACAAATACATGTTTGGAATGAAATAACACAATATTTTACCACTGATATCAATCCAGGTAGACAAACAGAGACATGAATCCAATTGTGAAAAAGTAAGAACACAGGATCGGGAGCATTCTAAGAATACGATTTGGATCAATCCCTAGTCAATAGACACATCGATCAATATCTATGAACCCATAAGTAAAAGCCTTATCACTCACATTGTCAGTAGTCAGTAAAACGTGACATTTAACAAGAATACAAAGAAAAATACACAATAAAACCTTCGAAGACCATCATTTACTAACAAGAATATCGGAACGAACTGATCTAACGTTTGAGCCCCCAAATGCCCTAGTACGGCCGAGAGTGCGGAAAGTCAGCTCTCCCACTCGAAATGCTCTCGTATGGCCACGCGTATATAGCCTCTGTCAGGGAATTCCTATTCTCAATGTCTTCTCGCACCACAGGTGTTGTTTACGAAATTGAGAGGACGAAAAGCGAATGTCCGGCGCTTTAATCGGGTTGGTGAACACAGTAATGGGGAATAAATATCGCCTTAATTTTTTTTAAAATATATTAGGTTGATTAGATTTTAAATACTACCTAGGCAACAATGTTTAGTAAATTCTTTTACCTAACTAAAGTTAATATTGACTAATTAATTTTTTTAAAATTTTTTTCCTTTTCTCCACCTTATCTTGCCTTAGTAATAAAGATAATTCATAATACGAGAAGTAAAGTAGTTTGGAAGTACACTTTGATTTCTATTGTTGCTATGAGCAACTGTATTTCACTTCAATGAGATACTGAACTGTTGTTATTATAATTGAGAAGGAAACATACACACACATACATACACATTAAGGAAACTGTTTAAGAATTTAGTTTGGCCCAAGTTTTAATATAAAGGTAATACCCGCAAGAAAAATAGACGAGTCATTTGGAACTTTCCTTTTTTTTCTTACATCACTTGAGATATCGGTAATAACATGCCTTTTGATCAAAGGATAAGTAAACAATTTAAGAGTTAGCCCTTTATATATATATATAATCACTAAGGGAGAATAAAGTACACAGATATTAAACCATTATAAGTAGAGATGGATGGTGGCTAGTAATTGAATCCAGAACGTACACCAGTTCGTTCTATTTGTGACTTGTCAGTTAGATGTACTTGTATCCCAGAGTCGATGTACACCTCAGGACTCAAACTCAGTACTGTTAGATTCAAACGCTATCGCGTTCTCCACTTAGCCATTAAGTCCAGTGAAGTCTAATTCATTTTTATATTGCTTGTTTAAATTTTCACACTGATGTTCAGGATATTAAATCAACGATGTTTTCATGGTATTACTAACTGAGTTGATAAAATTAAGATTTTATATTCAATTCTAAGTAATGTGGATGAATTGTGATTGATGGATTTCTAAATCTGAACCGACTGAGATGGTTACATCGTTTAACACTCATGTCAGGTTACTGTGAAGTGTTCAGTTATTATTCTGGAGATCAGTTAGCCATTATATGGATTGACCAAAGTTTTCCCAGAGTTTTACCACCAATAAAGATTTACCTTAGTTATAGGAGACAACTCCAATTTTATAAGTAATGTAATAGAAAACTAGGGTAAAATCATCATTAGCTTCTACGCTAAGCCTTGTCTGTTAATGTCACATGTTAATAAGTTGTACGATCTTTAGGATTCAACTAAAGAATCATGAAGAAATGACAGATCCCAGTCCCATACATCTCTCTTTCATATCACCTCTTCATGTCATAATATGGTGTTGTCACTGGATTTCAATAATACTTCAGAGGCAATGATGATCAAACACAGAGGGTCACCGAATATAAAGCAAACATTTTGACTGTTCAGTCAGTCACAATGAATGTAAGATCTATAACAAATGTGTTTGGACTACATTGTCACACCGCATTAATAAAGTGAGGTGAATTTAACAAGATGGATAGCGAAAAATTGATGTAATCATAGGCAGTGATGGTCAAGTGAACTAAAAATATAAAATGTGACTCAAAAAAAGAAGTTAGATGAAAGGCTAAAAAATTCAGTAGAGATTATAAATGGTCACATTTGCGCTACTACTAATGATTTAAACTCATGTCACCTACGATTCTTAAAAGTTCATCGTGTGAAACATAACCAGATAGCAGTAATAATATACATCAATACATTACCGACTAACAGTTGATGAGCTACATAAACTAATGTCTTATCTTCGCCAGAAAACTAACAGTATTCTTCTGACCTAATACCATACACAAACCAGGACTACCTGATGAGGTAGGCGATGATTTGACTAGCGTAATATATATCTCAGTGAATTCAGTCGATGAACACCTAACAAAATCATCAGTCGATCTGTCACATTCACATCATCATTACTGAATTCAAACATCGGGTATTTACTACTACATTTCTTTTCATCTATATAAGTTAGTTCTTATTTACCTATAATTACCTATATTTGTAACAGAAAACGTTATACGTTTATGTGTGTGTAGGGCTAAAAGGCAGGCAGAGAGAAAGAGAGAGAGAACAAGAAGTCTTGATTGTTACTGTTCTAAAATTAGGTTATCAAACCTACCGCAGTTTGGCGAAAAATTTATATATATATATACATAAATAGATATCTATATATGCCTGTAATTCATGTATACTTTAGATAATATCAATTGTTTATTTAAAACATGACAACACAAAATGTAAATGATCTCCATTTCAAAGATAATTACCAGTACGGAATGGTATCAACACTTTAAAAACTATTTCCACTCTATAAGCAAAGATGAATAGTGGCTAGCAGTGGAATACAGGACGCGCGTCACTTCGTCCTGGGTGTACCTGCATCTTGGAGTCAATGTTCACTGTGGGACTCGAACCCAGTACCGTCCGCTTCAAAAGCCAACTTGTTATCCCCTTAGCTACTGAGTCCTGGTAGCCATTTACTTGTGCAATGGGGGTGAAGTTTAAATTCACTTGGTATTATGAATTTAAGTAAATTTAACCGAGTATCTCTTTGATCTATAAAAATAACATGAAATAATTTCAATGACACAATTACACTTCCAAATAGCAATAGTCTAAACATAAAGGTCACCCTATTCTGATTGAATATATGTGTTTAATTATCAGTGTATTGAAATTCAAAAAAAAATTGATTATACGCTTTAGTTATATGTAAAATACTACTTAATTATTATGACAGATTTCTTGTTTAAACAGTCGATTGTTAAATACAGTTAACATTACTTACCTACTTGCTTACTTACCTACTTACTTACTTACTTACCTACCTGCCTACCTACTTGCTTGCTTACTTACTTACTTACTTACGCCTGTTTCTCCCAATGAAGTATAGAACATGGATATAAATAAAGGCATTTCAAAGTCAATATAATTTGAAGCTAATTTATACTACAAATAAACTACAATTAGATCATTATTAAAATCTAAGGAGTGTTAGGTAGATGTTTCCTACAATATTATGATCAATCAGTCAGCTCTCCCTCTCCAAATGCTCTCACATGGCCACGCGTATATAGCCTCTGTCAGGGAACTCTTACTCATTGCCTTCTCGTGGCACTACTGTTGTTTACGAAATTGAGAGGAAGAAAAGAGAATGTCCGGCGCTTTAACCGCATCTGTGAACACGGAGGGTTCACCTAGGGGAATTGGAAAACCCTGAATCCAAACCAATGGTGCACATGAACTCCAGTATCCTGAGGGGACAAATGACGTATGAATCAATCGTTGGTCACCGGATACCATGGGACTGCATCTCTTCACGATGCTCCACTGCCTTGTGGATCAGACCTTTAGATCGAAGGTTCCGGATGTGGTCCCTTAAGAAAACCACTTGCTTCAGTTTGGGCACCTGGTCAGTATCACAACCGTCTAACATACCAAATGAGATTTGTGCGGCGCATATATACCTGGTTCCCCCTTGTATCAATATTTATGTGTTTAAATATATAAAGTTCGATCACTGGTAATGCTGTCAGTTCACATTATTGAGGAGTTCTCTACTAGAAAGAAATAACTCCCTAATAATCCTTGATCGTCAATATTTATCTAGTTAAATCTGAATATTAATGTAAATAACCTTTAAGATGTATGTTTTAAAAAAATATCTTATTTTTATAGATGTATTCATTTTATTGAATGTTAATGAAAAGAATATTCTCATTTTGACAGGATGCAGATAACTTAATGCTTAACTTTAAATTCGGAAGGGGTTTTGTGGAGAATTCAGTGTTCTCATAGTTGAAATCATGAATCAATTGAAGCTAGACCACTATGGAAAACCTAGAAGCACTGGACGGCCATTTCGTCCTATTGTGTGACTCCTCAGCAGTGCGTATCCACAATCCCGCCTCGCGAGATTTCAACCCAGGACCTACCAGTCTCGCGCCAAAGCACTCTTCTTAGGTGAATCCATGTGCTTATCGAAGAAAAATAATCAAAAAATTAATTCCGAAGACTCATAAACTAAATAAAGTCAACGTATAAAAGTTAGTTTTTATTACCCTTTTAAGAAAAACAGATTTTCAATGTTCACCGTTTGTATTAATATGGATTGAAAGTTGACTTAAAAATTATAAAAATCATTTTCAATATCACTTAATCTTAATTCGTCTCCCTTTAACTTTCTTCTGACACACATTAAGGAAATCACCCAAATGCGTCACAAGACAAGCCCTCACATAGAATCCTGAAGGCCAAAGGAAAAGAGGAACACAAAACAACACACAGCTCACCGAGAAATGGAGACAGACATGAGAAGAATGAACAAAAATTGGATAGAACTAGAAAGGAAGTCCCAGGACAGAGTGGGTTGGAGAATGCTAGTCTGCGGCCTATACTACATTGGGAGTAACAGGCGTAAGTAAGTTAACTTTCTTCTAATTTACTCCTACATCAGTAGGTAGCGCATATCATGACAGGCAACTATTGAGCACGTATAATACACACAATAAACAACGTAGTCTAAATAAGATCTACACTATAATTCCTTGGTCTGGTATTTCCACCTTAGGATCTTATATTTAATCACAAACTTACTAATTTTATGATTATTATTGTTATTACTTGGAGTAATAGGTAAAGATGACGGTTAAGTTGATGAGATTGTGAATCTTTGTTGACCAAGGTGATACGGTTATGTAATACATATGCCAAACCACCATCTTCCCCGATGTGATGTTTACTGGTTAAGTGTAGATTATAAGACTGTTAAACTGAGATATGTCATTACCTATAAACAATGTGACCGAGGTCATTTTGACTGTCTTAACAAAACGTTTGAAGATGTTGAATGACATATTTCAGAATTGATCATCTTTTATCTCTTTGCAAATCATATTATCTATGTATAATCATTGATACCTTTAATACTGTTATTACCTTCTATTCCTATAGTATTTGCCTTGATAATTTCATGTCATTGTTTTGATGCAGTATGACAACTTCAAACGATGGATGCAAACTTATCTCGTAAAACCTGATTTGAGAAAATCAAGGGAAATCAGAAACCACTAAACAGCTGATTCAACCTAGTATGCGACTTTTCAAGAGTGTGTATTCATAATCAAACGGGGGTGGGTGGTGAACTCAAGACTTTAGCTTCTGTCGTGAGCACTGAGCCTATGGTTCTATGGTTAACCAGTCATCGTGAGACCTGAAGATTCTGAGTATAATCAGGGGCGAGGTGGTAGATGAACACTGGAAAGGAGTTTCAAACTAGGCTGGAACAGTTGTCAAGCACTTCTTTATTTTTAATGGTTGTTGAACTAAGGTCAGTACGTGATGTGCATCGTAACCAATATTGTTTTTAAAAGTTTGGAAACTTACAAGATCATGGTTATACTTGTTAGATACTCCATCCGTATTCACATTATTATTATTATTATTCTCATTATGTAGACGAACTAGTTCATGATTATGATTCAATGGATCATATTGAAGATTTGAATTTGATTTTGATTGATGATACTGTTTTATAATTCCAACATATTTATCTTCGATAGCATCACTTGATGGACCAACAACATCTTCAACATTATCATCATCCCCATCATCCTCATCATCATCATCCATCATAACATTAACTGATGTATCACTATTTCCACTCATATCTTTATCAAATTCATCCTGATGTGTTGAATAATCATGATTAATATTAGTACTATTGAATGTATTTAATAAGGACAATTTTGATTTTCTATCTGATTTATAGTTAGTCATTACATTATTGTCATTTACTTCACCATCATCATCGTCACCATCATCGCCATCGTTTTCTTCAAATTCTTCTACTTCATGTATAATATTTGATTCTGTATGTTCTAAACGACGTCTTAATTCTGCAATAACACTATGTAATTCAGTTAAACGATCTTCATAACGTGATACTTGATTAGTAAGTTCATTACGTAATTGTTCTTTTTCTCTTTGTAAACGTTGTACTTCACGATGATTCATATCTCGACTTGTCTATAGTTAAATTAAATAAACAAAAGCGTATATATGTATAAGGTCAAACTAGATTGAAATTATTAGTAATCAAGTGATTATTTATTTATTTCAACATATAAATATTGGTATAAAGGAGCACCAGATATATATGCGCCATACACAAATCTCATTTGATATGTGAGAGGGCTGTAATACTGACCAGGTGCACAAACTGAAGCAGGTGTTTTCCTTAGGGGGCCACATCCGGAGCCTTCGACCAAAAGATCCGATCCACAAGGTAGTGTAGCATCGTAAGGAGATACAGTCCCATGGTAACCGGTGACCAACGATTGATTCATACGCCATTTGTTCCCTCTGGAGCCCATGTGCACCATTGATATGGAATCAGGGTTTTCCAACTCCTTTGAGTGGAGTTTCCGTGTCCATCAACCCGGTTAAAGTGCCGGACATTCTCTTTTCTTCCTCTCAATTTCGTAAACAACAGTAGTGCCACGAGAAGGCAATGAGTAGGACTTCCCTGACAGAGGCTATATACGCGTGACATATGAGAGCATTTGGAGGGGGAGAGCGGACTCTCCCCACTCTCGGCCGTACCAGGGCATTTGGGGGCGATCAGGTGAAATAAGAAACAGTTATGTATTTATTACTATGTAAAGAATCCTTTTTTATTCGCAATAATTTCTAGTTGATAACTGAGTTATAAAGAAAACTAATGAAATAGAGTAGTTGTTCAATAATTAAAGTATTTAACTGTTGATTTTGAGAGAATTTACTACGATTCACGGATACTCCAAATGCATAAGGAATTATGAACCGGATTATTAAAAGATAAATGAATAAACACTCATATTGTTTGGTACTTTGATAACAGTAGGCTATTTTGTTTAGTGCATATCTTTTCACATTTAACTAGATCAATGAAAGTAAATCAGATCTTTTTCACGAAATATGTCCTTTTCCTAGTTACTGGCTAATTATGCTCATTATCGTCTGACATCATTGACAATACTCTTCACTGACACGATCCACATATATTTGAATATTTTACGGTCGTTCACAACATTATAGAGTGGATATGTATTTTGTAAAACTCTGAGTGTATTAAAATGTCAAAAGGTTAATATAGTTAAGGTTAATAATGACATATTGATCGTTCTTCTCGTAAATCATGAATGTATTTCCATATCCTGGCAAATGTATCAAGCTACTGATAACCAAAAAGTACACTAAAGGCTGGTATGGGAGCAAGTTAGCGATATGTTCAAAGGAAATAAAACGGTGTGATATTAGTTGGTAACAAAGTCAAACTTTTAAATGTCTGAATTTTCTGAACACCTATTAGAGTACTCTTATGCAGATATTTGTTTCTAACAAAACTTCCATCCACAGGGTTTCTGTCAATCAGTCATCATTTACTCGAGAGCTGTTAAAGATATGCAAAGAGTTGACGTTTACCCTCTGATAACATAGTAGAAGGAAACTTATTCTTGAGGAATGTTAACTATGAATAAGATCAGTATTGATGGTTATTACAATTTTGGGATGTAGCTGTTATTAATTGTGTTAAGTCTATTATTTCAGATCCGTAGATAACTATGAAATATGGCATCTTTAGAGCCAACACTTGCTGACTACTTTTTCTGTCTGTAAAAAGTTACAATGCCTGAAAACGCTGGTCGTCCTTCAGGAACATCTCACAACTATTACACTTTAGTGATGATGGCATGACTAATTTCTCATGAATATAACACTAGAGTGTTGTAAGTTTGAACTAAATGTGTGTTATTTTAGAAAAATGATTTTGTGTAGCCTGCTTTTATTAGGGTCAAATAGGTTACATGAGTTAAACAAACAAGTTACTTATAAACCGAAAAGCTTTTGTCAAATGTACATTTATCGGAATTTTGATAAAGAACTGGTAACTTATAAGTACTGATACATTTACAAGAAGTTCCTATCTTAAATCTATTTAGCATAAAAACCAGATAAAGCATATGCTAGAAAGAAACAGGATTTATAAGGAAGGAAACCTTTAAAAGTTGGAGAAAAGTACTCATTACAAATTACCTGTAATCCTTGTAGTCGATGAGATAGATCACGAATTTCAGAACGTAACTGAGCTGTCCGTTGTACATGGAGAGTATTTGCACATTCAAATAAATGTCGAACATTATCTAAAAAATGATTTGACTCAATTTCTTTTGATTTTATACAAAATGATTCTTTATCTATATGTCTTGGTAAATTACTCAATTTATTTACAGATTGAATATTTATTGTATTAGTTAATTTTTGATTCTGTAAATCTTTTGCAGAATTATCTTTATCATTGACAGATAATAAATTGAATTCATTTGTCATTGTATCATTTTCAAATTCATTTCTTATTGAATTCATAGGTAATGGAAATATAATTTTATATAGATCAGGGAAATCACGTTGCATTAACAAATATAAACTTTGTGGTTCACCACAAAGATCTTGAGCTCCAGAATCATATTCTGCACCTAAGTACATCATCGAAAATGATAGAAAAAATTTGAAGAGTAAATAAAACAAAGTATAACTCTATCAATTGTTACAGTTAAAGATGGAAGGTGATAATACATTTGACTCCAAGCGAATCCTAATCAAATGAATATTGACAATATTAACTTAACTCATTGGACAGTTGTGGGATGAAGGAACAACTGCTTGAGGTCGGTCGTATATAACAGTCATTTTCGTTCCTAGGTCTGTACATTTTTGTGGAGAAATACAAGACGTACTATTTCGATGTCATGCTTTTTCGGAATACTGTCTAATGGATAGCATAACTGCTAACAGTGTTAGATGTCCATGGAAAATACCTTACTGTTTCCACACAACCTAATATGCTCGACAGTTCGATCTCACTTTTGAACTTTAGATTTGGTGTAACCACTATCCAAATGACTTGAGTGACATGGTTAGACGTAAAGGGGAAAACATTCCACTCAACATAGACAGACTAGGTCAACTAGATATGAAAGCTAGACCAACACGGTCAAGACAGACAAATAATTGATCAAATCTTATAATACAAGATTTTGACGCAAAAATATTTAGATAAAAGTATTTGAAAACATACTTACTTTTCGCTAAACTTAACTTAATTAATAAACAGATATTTACACAGGAAGCAATAAAGCCTAATTGATTGGTATACGTGAGCAAAAATGTCTTGAATGTAGATTTCAGAACTCTGTTTGCAGAAAATAGGAACCTTTAGGGATTTTCTGTGAATTTAAATCACGATAAGAAAATTGATATGACATTAAACAAAAGAATATATACTTGAATGCCGTAATACCATCAGTGTTTACTATGAAGTAAAAGATTAAATCTGTTGACATCGATTTACTAATGTTATTCGGTTCCCTTTCAAAGAATTCTACTTGATGAGTTACTTTGATCAGCTTATTCATCTTATGCTCGGCTTCAATGAGTCAATAAAATGAGGCTAAGTTACCTAAAATATTGATATTTATTAAGCTACCAACCAAATTTAAAACGATTAATAACACAACAAAAGGTAAAGACTACAGGTTGTGCCGTCCTGTACAGATCGATCGCTAAGTTTATGTTTGTTTACTTAACTGTGCACTCATTGGACAAATTCTTAAGACGAATGTCCGGCAAAATATTTCGGAACTGTTGATTAGACTTGAAGTTGCTTTACAGTGGGCAGCTTTAAAAGGCAATATGTTCAATGACGTAACATTTTAAGTCTCAAAAGCTAATACAAACAGTCTTGAGTCACCGGAACAGAGTGCGATCAGTAAATGTAATTATAATCGTACTTGAGGTCAGTTTTAGAGTTTGCTAATAACAATTGGTAGACAATATCACATCTTGTTACAACTCGCCACATTGATTTGTTCTGAGTACAGTATCGCGCATTGAAAGAAATTGTGAGCATCAAACTTAAATGTCCCGATTCTCCCAAAACAACGAGAAGTCTGACAATTCAACTCAGTCATTCTTAACAACAGTGTGTTAACATAAAGTTTCTTTACATTGACTGAAATATTGGTATTTTACAGAATCTAACCTGAGTTAACAAGGCTGGTTTCGCTAGCGGAACTCTCGAGATTGATATTTTCGTTCATTTTGCGAACAGAGTTTTCATTCACTTCCTGTCCATTATTTTGAACCCTTGCATGAATTTTATCAGTTGTGTGACCACACCAACTAAGTCCAGACGGCTTATAGATCTGATGATTTGACAAACCAGACTTTGCGAAATATATATTGTCAGCTTCAGTTTGCATTTGAAAAACTTTCTCTCGACAGCTAAGGAATTCATCGAATGTAATGCAACCTTTGGTGTTAGCGCCAAGTGTGTTTATAATTTCTTCGGCACATTCTGCCATGTTTAGCTTCTTACACATGTTGTATAAGTCTTCACAATCCAAGCAACCATCATTATTAGAATCACAGCTTAGAAACAATTGTCTCAGTCTTTCTTCTTCCCCTGTACTGCTACTATCACTGCCACTAGGTTTCATAAATCTTTAAATACGGAATAAATACTAACCTGCTTTTCTGATCAACACATTGTATGTCAGACATATCATGAAAATTGAAGGCCATTCAAACCCAGCGCTAGTGGCATTTGCGGTCGATACCTGGGCATGAAAAATGAACTCTCAAGGTTATGATACTTGTAATGCATTTAAAGGGTTATGTATATAAAGTTGTTGGTACTAAAATACGGATTTTTCGTAAATATTTGAGTGTGCTCATCATTTTCAAGCAAAAATAGTCAGGTCTGCCATGAATTATCAGCACTCATCAAATGTAAGATGTACTATGTTACCGCAGCACACGGTTGAGAAAATTTAACTACTAATGTAAACTTTCATACTGTCGAATTAAAAAACGAATGTTATTGACTGGAAATTGCTAACCTCTGATTAGGTTCTGAGGTAAATATCACCGTTTCTCGTGAACAATCCGATCTCCTTATAATATGGTAGAGAACACATAAACAGAGGATGTAATAGTACCAAGAAAGTGTCCCAAAATTCTTTACTAGAGCTGTGACTCATAGCCACCTTTGTTTTATTAAAGATGTACAACGAAGCCTTAACGTGTGCTTAAACGGCTCGCAAAGTAATTGTGTTTCGGAAGTTAGCAATGATGTGCTGCAAGTTTTCTAGTTGCTTTTCGTTGTTAGCTAAAGTTCTTCACTGTCACGTCACAGGATCAAGAAAGAGGTTAGAACTGGATGTCACTCGCGGTGGTACATAAACGCCTGCATCCTACTTAATAAAATAGCAGAGTTCAAGACAGTGGTGAATATAGAAAAACCGGATGTTATTGCTTTCCCAGAAACATGGTTAACGTCAGAAATGTATGATAATGAAATCCAGTTGACTGGTTTTATATCCAGTAGGGCTGATAGAATAAACCGTAGGAGAGACGTGGTTATTCTGTACACGAAAAGTACTTTGACCATACGAGATGTTGATATAGTGGCACACGATTTACGGACATGTAAATTGGTGCGTCGCAGGCTGAAATATAGGCTGCAAAATATTGTAGTATATCTCAGTCCAGAATGTGTGGTAGATGACTTACTCAATGCAAATCTAAATTCTGGTTAAGAGGGGTAAAAGCCTTATAGTAGGCGACTTTATTGCACCATATATAAACTGTGTAGACATAGATGTAGGGCCATCGATAACGTCATTTGATTGCAAAACGTTAGAAACCCAGATTGCAATAGCTTTATTCTAACACATTAGAGATCCCACCAGATATGACTTACGAAGCTACTCGTCCCTGTTTGACTTAGTCTTCACAGACAGTGACGATGTCGGTCAAATAATTTTCTCGCCACCTCTAGGGCGAAGTAATCATGCAGTCATCTTATTCAAATTCATGGCTGAGATAGCCTGTCAGACAATTGCGCCTGCCCGTCCCATCATACGGAAGGCAGACATAGAGGTAATCTGTTACATTCCGAAGATTTATGATTAGGGACTTTGAAAACTATTTATAGACCAATATGATATGCATATTTCCCATTGTATAATTGTTAAATAACTTAACTATTCATTTTCATGTCCCTCTTATGATAAGCTTCATTTTGACCTATAGACTTATAATACGATTTACCATTCTTGAGTTATCCCTAGTCCATTAATTACTGTTTCCCTATTCACAGCCATATTTGGTCAAATCCTGTACAAGTGTTATTCTCTATTTTATGGTACGATGTGGTCAGTTTGTTTGGTATATAAACCCAGTATGTTTGAGAATAATTATTCATATTGCAGAGGTTGTTTTCGGTGTTCTGGACTTAACTGGTTGTGCTATGTAGAGGCAGGACTGGTAAGCACTCAAGGTTGCTCATACGGCTATTGTGTATCAATAATTCGGTCGATAAATTTAATCCTCTCTGATTGGCGCGGATCATCACGTCATATATTAACTAGGCACTCAAGCAATCGATCTAACACAATCAACACTGCAGCACATGCAGAAAGCTTGCAATTTGACTCAGAGGCATCAGTAAAAGAGGCATGGGCACCTTTCAGGCAGTTACACAATCAAGTAACTCAAACATATATAGCCTGGGCAGTCCCGAAGAAGAATGGACTTGGCCACCTCTGGATAGGCCGGAATATTCGAAGTTTACCAAGACAATAGAAGAAATGTTGGAATATTGACATCAGCCTTGGAACAGCATGTGCAATGGAATGCTAGAGAGCGGTAAGAAACAAGTTTTCGATAAAATCAGCGAATCTCAGAGGAAATATCAAATGCTGTTGGCACAATCTGCATTCAGGCAACCTAAGAGACTATTCTCGTGCGTAAATTACAAAACAAGGATGCAGCATTGGATTCTCAACTCAGTTGAGGAAGCGAGTGGATCTGAATTAACAGAGGACGATCAAGAAAAATGAGACGCTGTAGCAAACTATTTTGGGGAAGTTTCCACTCAGGAATGTAATCTAGACGAGGAACTGAACCCAAATACAAAACAAACAAACCGTCTGCTCACCATGGACTTTCATCAAGACGATGTACTTAAGGCTCATAGCACCCTAGATACGGAAAAGTTAACAGGACCGGATAAATTACACCTCGAAACCCCGAGACATATTGCACAATATGCTGCAGCCCCACTGACTGTGATATTCAATATGTCACTTGACCAAGATGTGTTACGCACGGACTGGAAGGGTACAGTCGTCACTCCCATACATAAAATAGGATTGAGACAACATCCATAGAACTACAGACCTGTCAGCCTCATTAGTGTCGTAGTCAAAATACTGGAAAGAATAGTAATAAAGACCATAATGACATTTTTGGAAATATACGACTTGTTAAACAGAAAACAACACGGTTTCAGAAAAGGTTTATCTTGCACAACAAACCTACATATAACCAGGGAGCATTGGATAAAGGTCACAGACAATAAAAAGTCAGTGGGTGTGGTCTACATAGACTTCAGCAAAACATTTGACAAGATGCTAACAAATAGACTACACTTGAAGCTAGAAAATCTTAGTATTGCCGGATCTCTCTTAAAATGCCCTAAGAATTTCCCAGTGGGTAGTAGACAGAAAGTAAGAATAACATCACAGTGCTCCATCTGGAGACTAGTACTGAGTGGAATACCTCAAGGTTATGTCGTGGGTCGTTATTTCCTATACTGTATGTAAATGATCTCCTAAGTATAGTGAAATCCCCAATGTTATTATACGCTGACGATGTGAAAATCTGGCGGGAAATAACAGAATAAGCAGATGCATGCGCAATTCAGGCAGACTTAAATATTGGGATTAACGTTTCTAAGGTGTGGCTGATGCCTATCAAAGCAACAAAGTGTGTCTGCATGCATTTTGGGGATACGAAAGTAAATAGGTACAACATAGGGGAAGTAAATGTACCCGTGGTCCAGCCTCATAAGGATCTTGGGGTGACAATGAGTCATGATCGTAAAACCATGGCCCAGTACTGGGAGGTCTCAGCTAAAGGGTTTATAACCTTCTCAGCCGTAAGATAGACATAAGCAAGTTAGATACTACCATGTCCACTACAGTAAGCACAACTCTAGTGAGAACCAAGCATGAGAACTGCGTTCACGCTGCAAACCTCTGTCTAAAAAGTGACTCGGATATCTTGGAAAAAGTACAGAAGGCAGCTGCACATGCGATTCCAGAGCTCCGGAGTTTACCATATAAAGAGCGGCTTGAAAAGCTAAACCTCTTTACTCTGTCCTTTAGCAGATTAAGAGATGATCTGATTTTGATGTTTATAATACCAAGAAATGATTTTGGACCAAATATAATCTCTCGTTTATTTTCTACTAGATCGGAACATCTCAGAGGACATAGCAGGCGAGTCAAAAAGCCAAGAAGGAATAAAATACCCGTGGCATACAGGTTTTCACACCTAGTCATCAATTCTTGAAACCTGTTACCCGAAGCATTGGTGTACGTACCTTCAGTTTATGCATTCAAGGGAAGCCTGTACACTCACAGAAGCATACTGGAAAGGGAATAACATAGGCAATAAGCCTTATGTCCTGACTACACAAACCTGAATCTGATCTAACATTGTCTTATCGTATACTGAACGATGACCTTGGTGGTAATATGTCTTATCTTTAGCTTCCGTCTAGGACTGATCATTTAAGAGGACATTATAAGACTGTTCAAAAACAGAGATCAAATCTTCTACATCTAAAGTTCTTTTCTCGCACCGAGTAGTAAACTACTGGATTACTCTACAATAATACGTAATGTCACCACCTGTTGATAGATTCGAAACAAGATTGAACCTCTACAGTGTTCAAAATGCAAGGATTAGTATAGGTCAATAAAACCTCTTGTCCTTATTACTGAAGACCGAAGAAAACTGACGACTGAAGATTGTATACATTGGATTTGTTTAACTATACAGTTTTTTCCAGCAAAATTACGAAAGTGTAAACATCAGTTTACACTTTGATGAATGTTATATTTAGTATTTGTTTAATACATTTTGCAGCTGGTTAGTGATTATTCCTTTATTTTTGTTTCTTTCAAACGAAATAAAGTACAACAAATGCTTTTTAAAACAAAAGCACACTGTTTCACAGTGAGACCGGAAACAAAACCGTGCTGTTAGTTTTCCTATTTATTCTAGGTGATACCTGAGCAGTGGCCTGTTGAAAAATTCAAGCTTGGTAAAAACAAGTGGTTTCGTTTCTGGTTTCTCCTCATTTTTGAAGATATGAAGCCGTCCTTCAGCAATGAGATAAGTTTTTCAAAGGTCTTAGATCCGTTAAAACAACTTAATCCAAATACAGAGCCTGTTCTGCTACACAGAGATTCATTTATTTTATTATCAAGCGAATGAATCGAATATTTTTGCTGGAAGGCATAGTCAATACTAGGTTTTTTGTCTAGCACCTCTGAAAATTTAGTCAGGGAACAAAAGAAGCAAAACACCCCAGTTATACAGTATCTTTGGGACTTTATGGTTTCACACAACAGAGATATGTGCCCAATTGTTGGATAAATCAGCTGATAATACATTACATAATGTCCAGGATGGGATTTGAGACCTAAGTATTTACTCTTTAGTAAAGAAGACTGAGTGAAATCTCTCCTTATTTACAGCATTTACTTTGAAATTAGGCCAGT